TATATATATATATATATAATATGTTAAAAAAAGAGAATTGAAGTTATGTGTATTCACAAATATGCACATTCACCATATTTGAAGAGAAATCATTTGCTTACTGTTTAATCATTGGAATTATTATGAATATATTTTTTTCCAGTAAGCAATGATTATGATCGAGCAAGATTGCTTAATCTTAAATTTTTCTCTTACAGCTCAGAGGGAGGAGTATCTTTTTTAATTAAAATAAAGGACGGATTGTTATATTATAAATGAAATTTGTTCTTTAACATAAAATTTTCAAAATGTATCTTCCATTTAATTTTGGTATCATAATTTTAAAACTAATTTATTTTTATGCATAATTTTATTTTTTGATAATTAATATTTCTTTTGTTTGAAAATGTATGGACACTTATTGAGTACATGTGACAAATATCGCGTTTACAATTTTAATTCAACAATAGTATCAATGTAATACAAATAACATAAAATTAGTATAAAATAATTATTGAAGATTTTTGTATTACTATATGAACATTAAATTGTCCTACAATTACGTAATACAAATTATGAATAATAAGAACATAATTTTACGATCGTAACTAAAACATACAAAATTTACCTAAAAAGTTATCAAACTCTTAACAATATACTATTCAAAACTTTTAAACATTGCATCCATACATACGTTCTTAATACATATTTTAAACACATTTCTAAATTAACATCGCACATATAGTACAATTCTGTAACAAATTTTGCTTTGTTCATACTGAACACAAGATTGGCAGAGCTGTTGATACTCATCCCTCATGTATTGTAGTACAATGTCTATAGACATATGTAAGCTACAAGCAATGATAGAGCACATGAAAACTCTGTCAGGAACATGCAAGATTGTTATGATGCAGTTTAGCGATTCATTACGCAAAATGTTGAACAGTTATTTTCAACATTAATTACCTAAATCAGCACTGCCACACCTGTATTTTAACTTTAATGTATTGAAAAATTATAATTTGCTTTAGCAATTGAAACTAATGAAGTCTTTCGACATCAGATTGCTTTCGAAAATTTTTTCAACAACTTATCTTTCTTATTTTACCCTCGCTGCCAATGTGCACGAGAATGATTATGATATCTGTAATATGAAGGCCTATAATTTCTACCATGCCGCGGTCGTGCATTGTTGGAAGTATTATAATAATGTCTCCGATAATAACCACCGAGAGATCGATTCCACGTTTTGCCATTTTGATATTCTTGGAAAGGATTATATCCTGTATTACTTCTTTCTTCATATGTTCGATGATCTTTTACTTTCTTTACTCGACCACGATCTATTTCTTCATCATCTGGATTGAAATGTCGTTTACGTTCTTCTCTTCTATCATTATCAACTTCTCTATCTAAGTGTGTTCTGTTGCCGTTCCAATTTATAACTGTAAACAAACAAGTTTAAGTTCGTTTTATAAAAAAATAATCATATTATGCAGATAATCTTAAAATAAAAATATTTATACACAGTTTTTAATACTTTGTCTTTTAATAGTGTTATTTAACACTTCACATAATTTTTTTCAATAAATCACAAAATATATTTTTTTTATTACTACTGACGTAACAGAGGTGTAACAAAGCAAATATTTTCAATTTAATAATTAACAATAGCTCAAAACTTTACGATTTGTAATATCTACAATTTATCATTGAGAAGCTTATAAACTTAAAATATTAAAAGTATTGAAATATTAATTTTTTGTTAAGATCATAAATAGACAGAATTTTTAATTTTAGAACATTTTAGCAAACAAGAATTTTCGTTTCTTGTACATTTTGTTCTATTGTTTTATGTAGAATTTTTGGATTTAAGACGCATGGACGCACAATGGGTTGATGGGGACTTTGTGGAAAAAGGAGCTGGATTCAATGGATTCTTGAATAAAATTCTTTTGTTGTACTGACCCGAAGAACTGCCATAACCACGATGAGACATCTTTAATAAATGAGAAACAGTATCGGAACGATTTGTCCCATTAAAGTTTCTTAAAGCTGCAGCACTGGGCGTGTTATTATTCTGATTAATTTTATGAACATCTTCTCTATGAAAATAAAAAAGATGATGCTAGTTTATTATGATTACAATATTTGTTTAATAATATTACATCAAAAACAGAACATTACTTACTTATCAGTCACGGACCATCCATTTGGTGCTGCAGTTGATGTAGGTGAGAATGATGTATCTTTTGAAACTTGCCAACCTTTTATACTACTGCTTGTAGCCTTTGTAACCACTTTGTCGTCTTGTCCTGTTTTTACTCTAACTGATTGATGCCACTTACTTTTGCTATTATTACTACCACTTTCTGTTTTACCATTTGCTTCTGATTTACCATTTTGATATTTTATTGTACTTGTAATGGTACTACAGCTAGAACCATTTTGTGTTTTTGTACATTGTGTTATATTTGTTTGATTCTGAGCACTACTGCCGTTTGTCTTAGATGTACATTTTTGTACTTCTTTTGAATTAAGAACTATTTTAGCAGTAGGTGAACTACTTTTTACTAAAGAACATTTTTGTGTACCATTAGTGGTACTAACAGAAATGTTTTTTTTTACCGAAGTATTTGAATTTGTATGATTTTTTAACGTTCCAATAGAATTAATATCTTCTTCTTCACTAGATCCATCATAAGGTACTAAACTATTTCCATTTAAAATCTTTCCATTTTTAATCAGCATAATCAATCTTGGTTGAGATTTATCTTGTAATTTTTGTGGTAATTGCGGCCCAATAAAACTTGTATTTTTTTGAGTAGTAAACTGAAGTCCTGAATTATTATTTATCGATATCTGCATACTTGATTCCAAATTTTCCGTAGTATCTTTATTAGTTGATGTACCATTAATTAATCCATTTAATGAAAGTAATCCAGATGTTGATGCTTTGGGAGCTATAGTTTTATTCATAGAATTTCCTGATGAAGATAATGTGTTATTTATAGTCATTGTACCATTTAATTTAAGAGTCTGTTGTGCTTGAATTTGAGATTGTGTTTGTTGTTCCATTTCAAAGATCATTATATAAGCATTTGTACTAAGTACATTACTCAAACTAAGTGGACGAACCTATATAAAAAAATATTTTTATTAATAAGATATTCTCGCATTTTACAAATGTTGTTAATACATACACAAGAATCATCAAAGGAATAATATTGGCCTGTCGAAACTTTAGCAACTGCAGTATAATGTCCACAATTAACTGATGGACCCATATGTGTAACTATCGACATGAGTTTATATGTAAGTGATTGTGATGGTTCTCCTGGTTCTTTCCAAAGATAAGGACCCATATCTATAGTTTGCTTGAAACCTATATGTTTAGATATTTTTCCTCCTAGAACACTGAATCTTTTTAATTGTACGCAAAGCACTTTAGGGGGTCTTTCTAAGCTAAATTGTTTTGTAGCAGGAACTCTTCTTTTGCAAGCTTCACATTTATAATCATTATTATCTAGTTGTTCACGACTAAAATAACTACTTAATGCTTCATCCAGAGTACTTGCTTTACGTATATCAACCAATAAATCCTGTAAAAATTTTAAAAATTACATTTATTTTATTATATATAATTAAAGATGTTGCTATTAAAAAATTGTATGTTATATATACTTGAAAATGTTGAAAAGTTGTAGAAACATGCCGACACTGTAAACATTTCACTTCAGTACGAATATAACCACCAAAAATTTGATTAATAGGTGTTGTTTCTTTAGAATAACTGTCTAGTTTACTAGCTTTGTGTCTTGCTAAATAAGCTTTCTCCATGCCTTCTAATAAGTAACGTAAAAACTCATGAGCATCTTCTTGCTGTCCTGGTACCATGGTTCGACAAATAACTGATGAAAAAATCAAAATCAATACAATTACATTGTTAAATATTTAACAACTTTAAGATTAGATATTAATTTTAACTTAAGATTTAACAATTTTTTAATATTTTATAATATTTTATGTACTTACGTTTTAATTTATTATATATGTAAAATGGCTTAATGGCACATCCTGATTTTTGATGACTAAATTGTAAAGTCTTAGCCACTGCACATGTAAGGCATTCTCCACCTCCATCTAAAACTAACCTATTATCAAAATACGATACAAAACTGTGGAATTATAATCTTATTTTTTAAATTTGAAAAATGTGAAAAAGTAAGTTATATATTGTTATAACTTACCATTTTGTTCACATTTTGACGTATGATGAGAATCTGATAATAACCAATTAACAAGAGCTGGTACATGAAACAAAGCTTGGAGAGTACTATTTAAATAGCATGTATTTCCAACATTATACATGCCAGCTCCAACTGGAAATGTACCCTTCCATCCTAAGCTAACTTTCTTTGGAGAATATAAGGTAATAGTTGGTTCTGGCAAACTGGGTCCTTTACATCCTCTTTCATTCTTTTTTGTATAGTTTACTCCATCTTTTATTTTTTCATCTAAACTTTCAGAATTTGGTAAACTTAATACAATGTATTTGGCTTTGAGTTGATCTAAAATCGTAGTTTGATAATCATCCACTTCTTTATATTGAATTTCTGACTGAAGAATTCTTGATGCACTGGTAACTAAATTTGTTGACAATTCATCTGATGTTTTGGACTGATTAGTGTCTAAAGTACGACGAAGTGTAGCCGCAACTGGGTCACAAATGCTTACAGCAGGCATTTTTATTTTATTTTACTTTTTAATAGAGAAGTTTTATTATGTAATTCTCCTGTACAAAAATATAAAATATAAAAAATATTAAATATAATGTAATTATTTAATATTACTTTGTGTAATATTCATGTAATATTTGAAAGCATATAATTGTAATATAAATATAAAATATTATTTTATATCATATAAATAAACACTATTATATATATATATATATATATAAGTACGACGAAGTGTAGCCGCAACTGGGTCACAAATGCTTACAGCAGGCATTTTTATTTTATTTTACTTTTTAATAGAGAAGTTTTATTATGTAATTCTCCTGTACAAAAATATAAAATATAAAAAATATTAAATATAATGTAATTATTTAATATTACTTTGTGTAATATTCATGTAATATTTGAAAGCATATAATTGTAATATAAATATAAAATATTATTTTATATCATATAAATAAACACTATTATATATATATATATATATATATATATATTTATATGTAATATTTTATTATTAATAAATAAAATAAAATTTCATTGTTTAATATTATTTATAATAATATTATATTGTCAAAAATAAATAAAAAATTTACAAAATTTTGTCGTTGAAAATATAATAAATTATTTTTTTATAATAAATAACATGATTATTACATAAACATAAACAAAATCTGCGATAAAATAATTTTCCTTTTTCTTTTTCCTCAGTTAAAGATGTATACCTACTATGAATGCATAACTTCATACATACTGAAGCAAAAGGGTTAATTTTACTAATAATTTATGATAATACTATTAATAACGAGTTGAAATAACAATATACGAATTATTCAATATAAAGTAAGAATAGATAAAATTATGTGAGACTTTTTTTGTAATTACACGACATCGTCTCGAACCTTTAATGAAGTACACTAAAAGCACGCGGCGTGCAATAGATACCGCGCCAACAGATTCATTGTTTACCTCCTTCCGATGATTATGTACGTTATAGCTTATACAAATATTTTTTCCCAATAATACCGTAACACATTTCACATTATAAACGATATTTTCCAATCACGACTACGTACAAACACAATGCTATCGATTAATTCGAAATTCCACGCGCTTACGTGCCTCGAAACGGTTACCGGATGAGTTTAACTGAGGGCGCGTGTCTCCGGCCACGAGTCATTTTTTTCCCGCGTACTTTGTTACACTTACCCCACTTAAGTTTAATTCACGTACAATAGTGACAATAATTTCAATAAGAAACACCATTAAAATTAGCACGTGTCAATATTACACGACATTTTTAGAACTATTAGTTTTGGGCATGCGAAATCAAGGCCCATCCTCTATCGTCATGTCAGCCATTTGCAATTACATCGGTAGCCATTAAACTTTTTCCGTTGGATTCTATAATCCTATCGAAAGCGCTTAAAATACCAGGTCTTGTTTTCATGTACTGGAATTATATTCATATAATTATTATATTAAGATTTTTATTATTTATATTAATTTATATTTATAAATTGCACATAAATTTTATATTTACAGTTTTCATTTTATGAAAATTTAAATAATAAATAATAAAGATAAAACAATAAAATAAATAATAAACTTAAATATTTAAAAATTTGTCAATATTTTTATTATAAATAAAAAATATAAATAAAATTAATTTTATTTGAGAAAAAACAAAATATTTCTGAATTTTTACATTTCATTTATTTCCGATTTAATTAATATAAATTAAAATTGAGAATTATTAAAAATATTTATTTTTTTAATATCAAAATATGAAATAATAGTTAATTTATTGTAATATATAACGTTATTATAATATATATATAAAAAATATATATATATTTATATTTATTTTATATATATATATATGAAATAGAATACTTTAAATTAAAAACTTAGTTTATCATGAAAACAAAATTTATTTAAAAAAATAAAATATTAATTTCCATGTTATTTTTTATAAATGTGTAAATAATGTATTTATTATTATTAATATTTTAATATTATTAATAAAAAATAAAATAGTAAATGACAAAAATATTATTATTTATTGAAATTTTTATTATTATATTAATTTGATGAAATCTCGATCTCACTTATAGTAAAATTTATTTTTATCATACTTCTACATTTAATTAAGAAATGTAATATATAATAAATTCTTTTGTTTCAAATAGATAATATTTCATTATTTATATTAAATAATGATTACTAATTTTTCAAATTTTAAGTGATGTATTTTATATTTTTTAATATCTCTTCATTTTTTGATAATTAGAACTATATTTTTTGTCATAATAGTATCTTTATTAATTCCTATTGATAATCTTTACTTACAAAATATACAGATTAACATAACTTTTAAGCGACAAGATAATAATATTTCAGATAAAATATTTTTAATATATAATAGCCATTAGTAGCAGTTTTGATACGTTTACGATGGCGAAAGGGAACATCGATATTTGGTTATTTTTTAAAACTTTCTTTTTTTACTTTTATTTTTTTATTAATATATATGTCAAAATATCTTGTGCACAAAATTTTACATGAAATAAAATTCAAGCATGCATATACTAAATAAACTATACTTGTAATCAATGTTTGTATTTTTTTCTTTTTTTTTTAGGAAGCCTATATTATTTTTCAAATGCTCTCTGGCAGTGATAAAACAGACTAAACTTTTCGTTACAAAAGTTTGCTTTATCCCAGTTGGTTCTTGAGAGCTATCTTATTAATCATAAGCCTTTGACTATATTATTAAATTATTAGAAAAGAAACTCATTAATAAAAAACTGAAATGTACATACATATATATAAATTTAGAATCATTTTTATCTTTGAAATTTATCATAAAATGATATGTAACTATTAATAATTGAATTATGGAAACAATGTTGAATAGATTTATGATGGATATAACGATGAAAAATTACGCCATCGTGAACGTTTTATCATTATTCCATAAATTATCTCTAGTTTTAAGCTTATCGATAAAACTTTCTCGATTACGTGTATTAATCGACAATACGAATTCATGCCGTTTACAAAACTTTTTTGCATTAAGCCGTTTTTCTTAAAATTTCTGTGTGACGTATAGCGCCTTGTTAATTCGTATCTAATAATCTTGAATTTCGTGACTAAATTTAGTCACAGGTTATATGCATGCATAGATAAATAACTCTAGTTGTAAAAAAAGGATTATAATTAATGAAACTAATATTTTCATTCAATACAATTTTTGATTTTAATTTAAATAGAAAAAATTAAAAACATAGAAGTTAATTATTTATGCATAAAATATTTTAATAAATTTTTTTTTTAAGTTTTTTTGACAGCAATTGCTATTATCAGACTCGGATTAAAAACTATTCATGAATAATTTTAATTAAAATTCATTTTAATAAATTTCAGTATTCAAATTTATAATTAAACTATTATTTTATAAAATGATAAAATTATTTTTTATGGTCATCGAATATTTACGATGACTAACAAAATTTTTAATTGCATGTTAATTAATTCATTCTATCCCTGTTTTTTATCACTTTTGCATTTTCTTCCATATCAATATTTACAATAAAAGTATTCGGCGTGTACCATGGTGTTCTATGGAATAAGCCGAAGATGTATTACGCGCAACAAGCTTTCGATTCCTTCTTTCGTAAACGACAAAAAAGAAAAGTTTTAATATTAAAAAGTGATGTGTGATGATATCGGCATTTGACGGCAGAGATGATCTCATAGAGCACCATTATAAAAATTCTTATAGCTAAGTGTGTGCGTTGAATGACTTAATATTAAACTGGATATCAATATGCAACAAGAAATTTTTCTTCATCATTAGAATTATTTTTAATGAATAAAAATAATATATACGATTGTTAATTTCGACATTTATAATAATTTATAATAAATTGTAGTAAAAAATTATAACAAAAATATAGAATCCGTCAATTATAAATAAATTTTTATTTTATATATACGAATTGTAAGAAAATTAAAATTTACTAATTAACCAAGAATAATGTTTTCTTTGTTGCACCTTATCCAAATTCGCTTTATATCAAGTATCATGGAAGTAATATTTTGGGGAGAAAAATACAATGTCCTAAGACATTCATGAAGTGTCAGATGTGAAACGATAACTTTACAATTTGAAATGATAAAAAAAAATATATACATATATATAATTTCTGCAATGACGATATCTTTAATAATCTTCTATTTCATAATTAGGAATAAACCAATATTCATCAAGAACATAGGATGAATCCAAATCTCACGCAGTCATAGTTTCTCCCGAAAATATTTCCATTTCGTTTTCCTTATTTTATTACAAATTATTTCATGTTTGAAAATAATTGTTTGCTTGCCTAGAAATTTATTCATATTACTTATTCCTCGTCGAAACTATTCGTCTTTGCTAACTTTCCTAACATATACATATTTAGATATACATAATATGCAAAGGAAGCGGACATTTTACAAATTAAGGCAAACGTTATTTCACTGTAGGAGAAAATCTCAGCGAAATGGGACATCGTATCGACAATAAACAAATGTTTGGTAGCAGCATAAAGTCTCTAGCGTCGTTTTAATCGCTCTTTCCCTTCTTTTTCTTTTTTTTTTCTTTTTTTTTCTTTTTACTTCTTTCAGCTGTATATATTAATGGCAATGAAAAAATAGTTATCTACGTATCGCTTGCTCGATATGTTTCCTTCGAAATTCATCGCTCGTTGCAAAACAAAAAGAGAGGGGGAAAAAAAAAAATAAAAAAAAATAAAGAAAAAAGAAACTTATTATTTTTGATTTTGTTGATCCTTAATTAATGAAACGAAAAATACAATTTATTAGATAATCTAATATGTTTATTTTATATAACAAATCAATTGTTTTCGCATGCGTATTAATCAATTTGTTGCGAAACAGTGAAAATTAAACTAAATTATGCATTTATTGTTACATGTTCGTGTTAAATGTTACGAGAGATTGTTTCGAGTTCATTAATCGAGGATCAAAAAAAAAAGAAAAGGATTCGACTTGAAAATCACACTGATTGGCTATGAAAGAAAATAAATGTTGCATTGCGTGAATTGTTGCTCGACAATTCTTCGAAACGAACGCTACATTATCTATCCACATTCTATGTTTCCTTAATTTATATCAACTTACATTAGTTACGTAATATTATCGTTTAATCTTACATTGTCGTTACAGTTATAATTATTATTAACGATCACTGATAATGAAATTGATCGCAATTATTCAGTGATTTTTACATTAAAAAACGTGATTGTTTAACTAAGCTGCATCCACTCGTATGCTCGAAATGATGATATCGTAATATTACATTTACAAGCGAGGATTAGTCGCCTTTTTTTGCCCCATTGGAAAGAACACCATACGCATCATTATCATTTAGCCATCAATGAGAAAATTGGTAAAAATTTCGACAATGATATAGATATTTCATATATGATGATCATGTGGTTGAATTCGTTCAACACGTCCAGACGATGATTATCAATTGACGTTCAAAGATTAAATGTTAAACAATTTTTAAAGGAGATACATTATGGATACATGTAAAAAATGATTTGATTGATTTTTTTTTTATGTTATGGTAATTGGTATGTACACGTTTTTATGATATTTTGAATGATTTATGCAGATATATGCCAAATTTTAATCAAATATTTATAATTTTTTAAGAGATACTGATACATACATATTCAGTTTCTGTTGTAGTAATATTTTCCAATATTATCCGTTTTGTTTAATATTTATAAATGTATATCAGATCAGTGCAACAGCATTTAATATTATTTCATATATATATATATAATTATTTTCAAATAGATTAGATATTAATTTTTTTAATTATCATACAATATTTTAATTATTTAATAAAAAAAACAATCATCAACAATAGTCTGGGCGTATAAAATGAATCGAATCCAGATTTTTATGATAATTACCATTTATATGAAATAGAAAACATGAAATATGATTCTAACAGCCTTTCTGAGATCGACACGATCGTTTCTCGAGCAATTATCTCTAAATTTGACAATACGTTTAATCCAACAATCGAGAGTCTCGTTCACTACTTCCCTTCTTTTTAACACACACGAACGAGAGCAGTCTTAACGCCTACGGATTAAGCCTAAACATCGATTTATGTTTCGTAATATGAAGCACATCATTTATTAAATATTCCTGTATGTTTCAAACATTCGCGACCTCTATTCTTCGGCCGTGATACGTCCACCATAATAATTCGACTCACACGTGATAATAATTTAGATTTTCAAACGATTCAAACGAAAATCACGAGTTTCTTTATTCATTTTCCTTCTATTGGAATAGAACGTCATTATATCATTGTTCCACGATTTCGTTTACATCGCCATTCATTGAAACCGTGTTCCATTCGTCTCTGTCATCCCTCGTTGTTATAATATAAGTATCGTTACACGATAAAGAATTTTTGAAAACAGTGATGAATCTCTTTTTTGATGAATCACGAAGAGATGAGTCGAGATTTGATATTTTAAAAATTCAAATTCGAAACTTGATTTGGTGGAATTCTCAAAGGTCTCAGAAACCTAAAATGCTTATTTTATTCCTTTTATTCTTTTCTTTTCCTTTTTAAAGAAGAATTCTTTTTTGTTTATTTTTGTTTATTTAAAACTTTATTTAAAACATTATTTAAAACTTTATTTAAAACTTTTATTTAAAACATAATAAATTTTGATTTGAGAAATTCTTTAAATTGTAGTAAGGCTATAGTAAACATCTTTTAATGTCTTACCTTGATGAAAATAAAATTAAGTATTAATCAAGATAATTATTATATAGGTTTCGAAGTTTCGAGTTTCCCATCCTCAATGGAAACGATGGAAACATGTCATGAGAATCAACGAATCTTGGTGTTCCAATGAAGCACATAAAATCCTGCACTTAATTCAAGCGCATATCGTAATCGTTATGTATCTGTACATAAACAGTCCGTGAAATTAATTACTAATTTAAAAGACACATGTATACGTATATGTCTAAATTATTTATATATATATATATCGCAAACCTTTCTTCTCGCTTTGTTCCTTAAATTCTCTCCTCGAATAATTTCGTCGATCATAAAAATATTTTATGAAATATATCGTCGCTCGTAAAATTTACTAGCTTAATTAGAACGTACACAAAGTTATCTCGATTGAAATCGACTTGGTGCGATCGTTTTTTTTTTATTTTTTATTTTTTTTTATACTATCCAAATATTAGATTTACCAGAGTATGTGTATATATATATACTTCCTTCTGTTCAGCCATTTCTCATAGTTTTTTTATTCTTTTCCTCTTTTTGAAAACTTGTCTCATCTCAAATACAGACAGAGTATTGACAAGACATTGTCGTGATAATTTAGCAGGAACTCGATATTTGAAAGTAACTGTGCTCTTCTATGCTATGATTACGTGATTTATAAATGGATGTCAAAGAAATTATCCAAGGTAATGCTAAATTATCATTGCTATCTTAAATGATGGTTCAATGAAGTAAGTTGCAATTCGTTTGTGAGCTTTCTCATTTCAGAGAATCAAAATATCAATTGGATATGATTATTCTATTCGGTTAAGAAGCCTCCTCTTCGAGCACACCGACTCTCGTCACACTGTTCCACTTTTCAAAATATCCCTTCCTCCCCCCTCCTTCATTTTTCCTCGAAAATTTGTTTTTACAGCTACTACTTAATATTTCGAAGATATGTGCAAATACATCATGCGGTGATAGATATACGTTAGTGTGAGAATTTATTCGTTTAAATGTTATTACTGGCAAGTAAATCGGGTGCATCGAGACCCGACTAAAAATATTCTGCAAGTGTGTGCAGGGTGTTTGTTGACTATAACAAGGCCGCTCCAAGCTACTTACATACACACACGGTTCACTTGATCGTTTCCAAATCGCAAATTTTAAGCATCACTTCTATCGTTGTTCTTCCCTTTCCTCCATTCTTCTTTCATCCTCTTTCGTTTTATATATAATATATGTATATGTATATTTTTTTTTCTATGAAGTGAGATTGTTGCAATGAAGTAATCAATTAATCTAAATTTTCATAGAAAAAATTTGCGATTGATTATACAATTTCCTTTCACATCAGCGGCACATCATCATTCTATTATATTACTTTTTTTGTTTTTTTCTTTTTAATATAATATTTAAACGATTAATTAATGTGCTTCAGAGTCAGACTTGTATCTTGGCGATTTGAACACAATGAAGTCTCGAAGAACGAAATTGCTTTTTTGGTCTCTTTGGTGGTAAACGATGCTTCTCCCGAACAATCGAAAAATTTTCAGCGTTCGTTAGTTGTAAAGCAGCCTTCGAAATTGTCTCTCTCACGGACAATTTCGTGATTCTTCTTTTTCTTCTTCTTCTTCTTCTTCATCTTCTTCTTCCCATTGTCGAAGATTTTTCGAAGAATTGTGTATATACGAACTCCTCGATAACGATTGAACTTTCATCGTTGGTACAGTCTTGAACGAGAGAGTGCAACGAAAGGCAGATACCTTAAGATTTCGTGCGTACGAGATTTTTTTCACGTGTCGAAACGCTATTCTTGTTTTCACCTCTTCACCTGCAGCGTTTTTTTTGCAATCTTTTCCTGAGTTGCGATCCAATTTCGTGATATATTCAAATAATTTGCCCTTTTCGCACATGATGAAAAGAAAAATAGAAATAAATAAAAAATAGGCTAAAAATAGAAAAGTAGAAAAATAAAAATAAAAAATACTTTCCTCCATGAAAGATAAATGAAATCATCCTGATATGTTTACGTAAAATATAATGCAATCTAGAGGAATAGAAATAAAGACTAATACTCTTTGCAATACTCTCTTCTCCATAATCGAGAGCATCATCGTATCTCTAAAATATAATCATAATATGTAATGTAAATTATATATTAAAATATAGCAAGTGAAAAAAAAATCATTGATAAAAAAAATCTAACCTCTTTTTGATCGCGACTCACAGATCGGTTTAAATGCAAAGCTGAAACATAATCCGCATGCATCGTGTCCACTTCCACAATTATCCAACGATTTTCGTGCCAACGAACGATCACGAGATTGACTTTGTATACTTAACACATACTATATTATAATATTCGATAAAACATTCGTATAGGATCGTTCGCGAGCAAGGAACGCAAGCGTGCCAGTTGAAACAAATAAAGAAACATCCGCACGTGCTCGAGAAGAAAAGATCCTAAGTGGTGAAAATCGAGAGACTTTTAAAAAATCGACGATGAAAGGAAGGCAGCCGCATAATTAGGTCCCTTTTGCTTCATTTTTTCTTTTTCTCATCGTCTTCTATTGATTTCTCCTCTTGAATGGATCAAGACTCGAACTTGATCAACAATTGGCATCTTCCTGTCGTCGAGTTTTCTTCGATCCCATTTCCAAGATCCATCCATCTTTTGTGCAATATATTCGGAAAAATTGGACCCCGAGTCCGCGAAGCAACGACAATCCGGAAAGAACTTGGCGTTTTTTTTTTATTTTAGGCGATTTCCTATCGCGAGTGCTTATCAACTAAAAAACAAAACTCATACAATGTCTCGTTTTTGCGCCCGTGAAATTTCTAAAATTTCAAGGATTATTTTTTTTTTTTTTTTTTATTATCTCCCTTTCTCAACTTTCGCCTTGCACCAAGATAAAGGCAAGCGTGTACGCACCTTCGTAGAAGGAAACGGGTGTTGCACTCGTTCGGCGTGCATCAAGAATTGAATTTTCTGTCTAAAAAATCGAACGAACTGACACGATACGCCAGTCTGTTTGTTTTTTTCTTGTATTTATCTTCCATTTTCTATTTTTTTTCTTTTTCTTTATTTTCCCTCCTTTCTTTTCTTGCTTAAACCAGACTGTGTTCACGAGAGTCGTAACGATGAGTGTAGAGAATGGATGAGCTAGTTCCTGGCGACGTCGATGACGATGGCGTGTTCGAGCACGATGGCGAGGATGGATGGGCCTTCTTCGAGGCCGGCAATACCTAGGTATTCTGGCCCTGTTTGCGGATTTTGTTCTCGAGAGCGGAGGTCGGCCGGCCTACAAGGTCTTCCAACTCGTCCGGCGTCAGGACCGTGAAATCTCTGTTCGTGAAAGAAAAAGAGAATTTTCTGAAAGGAATTATTTTCTATACATATATTTCTATATATATATATTTTATGATCGTATAAATAATCAATAAAATTTTCTACATCTATATAGAAGAAAATTACTATTCTACATATTTAATTACCGTTTCGAACTGTTCGAATTTGAATTATGGATTAATTATTCACGATCATTTTGTTAATTATTGAATAATGAGTGGAATATCGATTTTTACCTGGAACGCGATTATTTAACGCGAAACGGTAGCTCGCTTAAAAACAAAAATAATCAAAATTCCATAAGGCCAACGTGTCGATCATCTTACTCGTGTGGTCGTTGTGTTACAAATAACTTTACGAACAACGCACAATTGGATATAGCATATACATGTATATATACTATATGTCGTTTTGTACGTTCTTATAGCAAAATAAAGATATTAGATCAGAAAATTGAATACTACTGTAGCGTCTAATATATCTGTTTTGCACGTAAATGATTGGTAATTAAGATTACGAGAATAAATAGATATATGTATCTCAATAAAAAAATATAATATTAATGAAGATATTTTCATTCTCGATAAATAATGATCAAAATAGTCAAGCAAAAAATATACGTATATTTGTAATCCAATCAAATGTTAATGGATCGAACGTGCAAGAGTATTGATCGTTGCGCGATTTCGAAATCTGAAGGGGAAACAAACGAGAGAAACACGCGTTGCTCGATGGTTTTCAATTTTACGAAGCGATAAACGGTTGGCGTCTGCCCTCTCACCTGTGTTGAGCCAACAGCATGTCTATACTGGTGACGCTTCTTTGATGCGTCCCATCCTTCTGCGCAGCCTTCTGTCTCTTGATGCACAGCGCTCTGAGGGGCGCGAGGAAAACACCGACCACGAGCAAACTACATCCAACGACGATGAGAGCGGTCGAGTTTTGTGCAGCTTCTGCCCCGGGCGCGAGTTGCACCAAGCCTACAACCAACACCACTGCGCCCAGCAGCAATGAACCGACCACCACGTGCAACGAATTGACCTTTGAAGAAAACGTGGAAAAAAAAATCTTGATCAATACAATACACTTGTTTTTATCGTCTTTATTGCTGTCATTTTAAGAGTACAATTAATGAAACGTAGTTGGAAGTTTAGTTTATTAAATTAAGGAATATATTAAATGCGAGAAAATATATAAAAAGTATTGGTCTATAAAGTATAGACTCGTTTTACTCTTTAATCTGTTTATTGCTATCATTTCAAGAGTGAAATAATTAATGAAACGTAGTTGGAAATAATTTAGTTCATTAAATTAAGGAATATATTAAATGCGGAGAAAATGTAGGAAAAATCTTGGCCAATGGTGTAGTCATTTTAACAGTAGAATAATTAATGAACTAAAGAAATAAAGAAATGTAGATGTCTGATTTCTTTCACTTTTTGTTTCTTGTATTAGTTTATTAAATTAAGGAATGTACATAATAAGAAAAAGTCTTGATCAATAGTGTAGTCGGTTTTACTCTTTAATCCGTTTATAGCTGTCGTTGTACAATGATAATGACTTAAGTTTATTAAATTAAGAAAAAGGTATAAGTTATTTCAAGAGTAGCATAATTAATGAAAAACAAACGGTTTGAAGAAATACGATGACGTTTGATTTCTTCGTTTCTTCTATTAATTTATTAAATTATTAAATATAATTTATTATATTAAATGGAATTTCGACTTTTTCGAAATTTCTCCTTCGCGAGAAGCATCCCCTTTATGCGCGGAGCTAACAAAAGCAAACATTGTTTCTTACTACGTTGTTGCAGATTGAACACCGGCTTAATTAAATGCGATTCTTGAAATATTCTTGCAACTTGTGAAGTTGCTTTGTACAAGAGCTTTGCAAACGAGATGTTTTCTTTTATGAAAAGAATTGTTGCTAATTAAATTACTACGAAATAACGTTATTTCGTATCGATTTTTATCTGTATGAAAATCATAATGAATAAAAGGGCACGGAACATTAAGGGTGAATGCATGCAATAATGACGAGCAAGACCAAGAGAATAAGAGACAAAAAGTGCTTTGAGCCCTTTGTTATATAGTCACTTTAACCTTTTAATCTTGATTGCGTAATAAAGACGATGCGCATGAAAAATATTTACCGCAATTTTCTTTAATATACAGTGCCAATCGCTTATTTCTCTCCTTTAAAAAGATACTGATACCCGTTATTTTTATTAAAAACTTTCCCACTTTATTTCGCCTTTGAAGAAAATTTTAACAAGCAATAATTTTCAATCGGCAAGTGAAGCGAGGCAAGTTTGTTAAAAGAAAAAAAAAAAAATTTCCATAAAAGTCTTTGTTAGGTTGTTCAAACTTCTTTTCTATTCGTTCAAGGATTCCCCGGGATTGCTTTTGAATTTTCAAGGCGAGTGAATTTTCAAGGAGGAAAAGGATACGTCGAAAATTCCTATCTATCTTTCCCCCTCCCCCCTCCCCTCCCCATGTATCACGTGTACACGTAGATTCGAACGAATATCGGTTAGTTTCAAGGCTGAACCTTGATGATTTTAATTAATTCCTCGAATCGCACCGTTTTCAGTTAGCCGGCAGAAATTTAAATTTAGCTTCCACACGATTATCGTTATCGCGTGAAACAGTGGAAACTTCTATTTGACGTTCCTATTTGTACGGCAAATAAAACTCGTACACACCCTCCTCGGATCCGTGTGCGTATTATTATAAATCTTCCTAAAGATAGGAAGATTTTTTTCCCCTTCACTTTTTCAACGTTTGATCCGCTGATAACTTTTAATCTTTAAATTAATTTTTTGCAGAACAATCTCTTGAAAAAAATACTCTAAAATCGGCCAATTAAATCATTTATTTTTCTCTCAGTATTAAAAATCATTTTTTTGAGGTTAATCATTTAAAAAAAAATATCGGATAAAATATATCATAAAATATCAAAATATCATCAGGATCTAATTCATTGTAAGATTGAAAACCTCTTCCTCAAAAAATCAAAGAAACACGAGAAACAAACGAATATAGAAATTCTTAACCTCGAATCGATTCTTCTAAAAAGATACTGATACTCGAAATCTCTACATCTCCTTCAGAAAACGATGAGAAACTTTAAGATTTTTGGACGAAACATTTAATCGAAAAAAAAAAAAAAGAATTACATCATTTTTAAAATTTACACAGATCTCTATATTCCTTCAAAAACGAATGAATCGATATATTTTTTATCTATGAGATTTAACGAGAAAAAGAATAATTTTCAGAATCGAAGAAAGGTTGAACTTTTATCGCGACGATATATTAAATTTCACGATCGCACAATTAAAATTTACACGAGTAGAAAACACGAGTCAGATCGATCTATATGAACATAATCTCTCTATTATTATCTCCTATATAAGATTTGTTGATCAACGACGAAGAATTTTATTCCAGTGTGTAAAGAAGAAAGGGAAGAAGAAAAAAAAAAAGGGACTAAATTTAGTGTCGATTCTTGGGGAGAGAAAGGAGGGAAGGATGATAGAAAAAATGGAGTTGATGCGAAGAGTGAGAGGCGGGAAGAGGCGAAAATAAATAATCCAAACAGGAGTATGTACGCATCTTTTATCGTGTTCATACAACGCCCACGAGTTTCCAATGACGTCACTCTCACCAACACACAGGTTGAAATAATCCCGGTAATTTGCCACGGTTCGTCCATGTTTTCCAATGGACAATTAAACGGAGGAGCTAATTCGCAGCTAATTTCGAAACTTTTGCGCGGCCGATGGATTCGGTGGAGAGTAACGATTTCTCATTGATTCGCGATCTGTGCACGCAATAGTGGACGCAAGATCAAAAAAGAGTTAAGAGGGTATTGGAGAATTTTCAATGGAAATTCCGTAGAAATTCCAAGTATTTTTTTTTATGAGAGAGTTAATTTTCATTAGCACAGTTTAGAAAATTGACGGGTTTTCAATGGATTCAAAGAAATTTCAATCGAAAAGTTTTTTTAGAAATGGAAAAAATGGAATTTTGAAATGGCAAGTAGATTATTCGATCTTCTATTTAATTTTATTAGGAATACGTTCTAAAGTGAAACTTACGAGACTTATTTTCGTGAAAGAGTTAATTCTTATTGGCACAATTTAGAAAATTGATGAATGGTTACAATGGATTCAAAGAAATTTTAATCGAAATGTTTTTTAGAAATGGAGAAAATTGGATTTTTCAAATTATTCAACATTGCATATAACCAAGGATACGGATACGTTTTAAAGTAAAATTCACTTATTTTCATTTTATTCAGACTTATTTTCACGAGAGAGTTAATTTTCATTGGCACAGTTTAGAGAATTAAAGATGAGAAATAGAGATAAAGAAAATTGGTTTTTTTAAATACATTAGAACCGTTGAATTATTTGATCTTTTGTGTATTAAGAGTATGAATATATTTTAGAGTAAAAGTATCGAAAGTTGCTATTGAGAATCATTTTAGAAGGCACATTATCGAGATAATTTTCATTATCAATGTCAATATTCATTAATAAAAATAACTTCCGACAGTGATTCAAATGTGAAAGAATTTTAAATTTTCTCAAATGTATTTACATTCCTATTCCACATTCTGTATCCTCTTTTGAATCTTCTATTTTTCTATAATTAATTATTCTCCATTTAGATTTACTATACTTTTTATCAATATAATTGATATATATTATATTTGATTATTAGTGAATATTTAAAATAATAAATCACAAAAAAGAAAAAAAGCAATTTATGCAAAGTAATATAATTCAAATATTTTCCTTGAATTTTTATAATTACATTTTTCTAAAATAACAAATCGTATTTACGATCGTGTATTTATATATAAAATAACGCATTAGAATTCAATGATTTGACTGGAATTTCTAAAATAACATCTCGCAAAATATACTCAATAATGGCGTTTCCACAAAAAATTCTCCCAATCTTCCCTCTTCTTCCCTTTTTCTTTCTAATTTTTCGATAAAAAATTTTTCTTTCATCCGAGATTCCTTTTTTAATCGATGATCCTCCTTCTCTCGACCTACGAGCAATCAAAATTTTTATAATCCGAAATACCCGGAACGATCGAAAGTTTCGCGGCTAATTTGCCTTTGAGATCTCGAAGCAGAGATAATTTGAAATTCATAAACGATTGATCATAAACTCGCCAACCTTTCTTCCTTCGCCTACGCATGCTTGCGAGTTCCTTATGCGGATCACGTCCATTCTGTATTCCGGCCGAGTTTGTGTACTTTCGAAATTCTGTTTATAAAAAGCACGCGAGAAATAAAGTGTGCACACAATTTCTCTCTGATTATTAAAAAAAATATGATACGCGTAGGTAGTATATTACAAGTTAAAAAACATATAAAGTACAACAAAATTAATAATAACGATAATAATATTAATAATGTAATAATAATAGCAGTAGTTTTAAAATAAATCATACTAATTTTGTGAATGATAGTGAGAAAAACGATGCATAACTATAAGCAAATGAAATACACTTAAGTTACTTTGCGTGAACAATGAATGTGTTTCATTCGTATGTTACTGACATATCGATATGTTATTAACTATTATTTGCATTTAAATCATTACATCCGTGAAAACGGTTAAAAAATCTAACCTTATTCTACATTGACTAATGATATCGGAATATATTACAGAAATTACAGCCAAGATCTGACCTTTTGAATTGCTATTGCGGCGATCGATTTTATTCAGTCACTTTTTTGTCGAATTAGTTCTTTTTTTTTTCCCAAGACTCTTGCACTTCGCTATAGAAAAGAGAAGAAAAGTTTTCGATTGGAGGGCTCTCGACGCGTGGTCGAACGTGTTCAAGAAACGATCACTTATAGGTTAGGCCGTACAATGCTGACCCAATGTTTCATTTCTCTATCCAAGTGTCCTTTCAACGCTTTCTCAGTTCACTTCACTGCGAGATGAATCGCTCGTTTTTTTTTTTTTTTTGCCTCATATTCTTCGAGATAATTAAGAATTTTGTATGAATAAATTATATAAATAAGGACTCCCACTCAGAGATCGCATTTCTAATAAATTTCTATTATTTTTTTAATGATTAGATTTTCATGCAAATTGCATACTTTTCATATTTTACATATAATATATTTTTTTTTTGCATATTTTACAATAAAAATTATAAAATTTATAATATATAAGATTCGTTTATATAGATATTTAAAAATTATGGAATTTAAAAATACACATTTTATATAAATACATTGATCAACATAATTAAACGCGAATCGAGTTGAAAATCCATTTCGTTTCGATCAAATAAGTTTTTAATTAACTTAATATTAACTCCAATATATTGTTAATAAGATTTGTAAGTAATATTCTTTCGAAAATAAATATATCTATTTGAAAATTTACATTAAAATTGATTAAATTGTAATTAAAATTAGAAAAACTTTGAATCGTTATAATTCCAAAGATAATGATTTTTGGTCAACGAATCAACAAAACATTAAAAGCATGAAATCTTGCTCTTCGAAACGCTCTTTCATTTATTCCGATATAACTTTTGATTGTCGACATATCGTCGACATTTAAAGAAAAGATAATTTTTGATCGTTCACTATTTTTATCTTTATTGCTTACTAGAACCTCTCCCTTGTATTTCATCACTGATCCATTCCAAACTGACAAATAAATTCTTGGAAAAATATAACGCGCATTTTCAGGAAGAAATGTAAATCATTGAATCATGGGATCGATTCGTAATCATTGTGCTATGTTATATTTAAACGTTATGGAAACTTTGAGTCATGAAATTTATATCTCGGCAATCGATTGAAATATCATATAGAATTAAAAATTGATTTCAACGATATCCACTATTTTCTTAATAAATTTGAATAACAAATAGAGAATCTGAACTATATCGATTAAATATATCGTTGTATAATAAACATCAGATTAACCTCTTACATAGTTGAAACTATCTATTGTCTAGATCCTTGACAAATATTATCATATTATTTTTAAAAGTTTTTAAAATTCATCGTTCATCGATGGAGTATATCTTACCTTGCCGCAGAAGTAATATTCCGGGGGTTCCTTATCAACTAACGCCAGCACTGCTTCACTCTCGGCCAAAGGGCTTCCAGGTTGACTGTTCCCTATCCTGGATCCTTTCTCCTGGTAATAGGTTTTGTGGAAGACCTTCACCGAGGGTACTGGCAACGCCGTGATCATCTTTAAAAAAAAACATACACAACGAATTCGTTATTCTCGTCGTTCGACTCGATATTTAATTAAACTTCCAATAAACCGGATATCGATTTTCCTTTAGAACAACAGTCTAGAAGGGTAGAGAAGAGAAGAGAAAAGGTAGAAACTATAGAAAAGCCAATCGATCAATAATGAATAATTTTCCGCGATGCACATGATATCCCTTCAATCAGCGAACTTTTGCAATTTCAATTTCTTTTCGTGTGGAATGTGGATGCCAATTCTTAATAATATCCCTTTTGAAATCACCAAATATTTTTCCTTCTTACATTACATTAAGAAAAGTTGTTTATCTTATGCATTCATCTTAATAACATAATTCGCTTATATTCAAAGTTTATTTAATTTACTTTAATCTCATTAATAAAAAATATCCTCGCTCCAAAACGCTCGGAACACCTTAAACAAAACTTTATATTTAATATAATCTAAATTATAAATTTTAATTTTAAAGATACGTTCTTGTTATTGCTACCTGAAAATATGTCATTGTCGTTACCGAATATTTTTCACTCATCTCACATTAGCACAAACCACCTCGCATAAAATTATATATTGATTTCAACAGCTGTCTCTCGTTCCTCGACTTATCACCTCGAGTCGTCCTCGCACAACTTTCCTCCAACTTTATTGCACTCGCAACGTCCAGCAACTTATCCGGGAAAAACAAGGGAAACCGTTGTTGAGTAACCACGGCAAAGAGGATAAAACAGCAATAACGCGACCCTCTTCTACGATCTCAAAGATAGGTTGCAGCCTGTCCTTGGCTTTAATTTTCTCGATCAACCCGCGAGCATCCCTTTTTTCTATCACGTTTACAAAGAGGAGCCGAGCGTGTCGCATTTCCATGGCAAAGAGCTTATTGCTCAACACGTGGCAATCGTTATATCCTTTCACATATATAGTAAATTTTATTTTCTTCATCTGAAGAAGAATATTATTCCGATTATTCTTTTTACTATTTTTCGTCACGATCGATGCGACGATGGTGTTTGAGAACGTTGATGTTAAATGGAAACTTGTGTCTCTAAGTGCGACTAATGATCGCGTCCTTGACATGGCTTTCGAAGTCTTTCTATGAAAGTTTACACTTGCTTTTTATCGTGAAAATAACGTTGATTGACGGTGAAATTGGATTTGTTTTCATGGTTTATTTAATAAGAATTTAAGAAGGACTTGATAATTATTTATAATTCCTCTCGTGTTAGGATTTTTTTCTGGAAAAATAAAAGAAATCAAAATGTAGAGAAAAAATTTTTTGTTACGTTTAAAGGACGATGTGAACTTCTGATAATAATTTTGGATAGGGTCATTGCTGTTACAAAAATAATTCATGCAAGGATAATTTCATAAAACATGCGTAACTTTGGCTTCGCAATATTTATCAAAGTGCATACGTTTGATAAAAAAAATAGTAGTGACCTTTTACATTGATTAATGCAATATAATCAATATAATCAATTTCTGATAGTAATTATTTTAAATTTACAACATGACATATAATTCTTTATTTTTTTAAAAAAATATTAACTCTTGAAAAAAATTAAACAATTTAGAAAAAAACAAAAGTTATTCTTAACTTTTTTGTATAAAAAAAAGTTTACTAATAATTCTAAATTATTTAATAAATTTTTAGATGAATCAATCTACATTATTATTTGATGATCATAATTTAAAAAATATAATCTGATTTACTTCCCATTGATAGGATAGGATATTTACTTTTCCAGGAACATGTGTGCTTCTTTGATTAATACTCTTTAGCAAAATTTACCAATTAATAATATTTGAAAATTAATAAGGTACACACTGATTAGATTATATGTAAACTAATCTTATAATTACACATCAAACAGAATAAATGATGAATCTTAATAAAGCATTATTTATTAAAATTCTATAAAAGCTATTTAAATATCATTAAAGCTATTTAAATATCATAAAAATTTAAAAGAAAAATAATCTAATATATGAATTGTATAGAAGCCAAACTTAATTATTTTGCTCTTGAAAAATTAAACATCAATTTTTAAAAAGTACAATTAATCAATTAACTTCTACAATAGAATATCATACCTTTAAAACAATTTAATCAATCATCGCGAATCAATATAATCATCAATCATTTGTTTCTTGAAGAAATCAAACACTAACCAGCTAATAAAATAATATTTTTCATAAAATTGGAATTGATCCAAGTTTGATTTCCAAATAGTTCATACGTATAACAATACAACGATATCGCAGCATTTTAATACACGATAGCTTGCGATGATTGTGGAACTAGCAATGATATCGATGGTGCTAGCAGTGGTGGTTGGTGGTGGTGGAAATGCTGGTGCCGGTGGCCTAGATACGTTCTTGGGGCCGACGGCCGTTGCACCTCGGTTATCGAACAGCAGAGCTTGCACCGGGTGCAGCTGCACGGCTAGAAAACTATCACAGACCCCTTTTTCGTGTCCTTCTCGATATCCTCTTGAAATCAACCGGTCGTGTTGAAATTAGTAACAGGCCAACAGAGACGTTTCCACGTCTAGAACACCGACAACAAGTCGCCTCGTCTTCGTCGATGATTTAAATGATCCAGTTTCGTAGCACTGAATCGATATCTCGGTCGGGATGTGTTTTTAAGGTCATCATTGAAGGGATTCGTTTGATCGTGTTTCTCTCGCCAGTTTTTAAAAGCTTTTTGTGCAATACCGATTTCAAAATACCGAAATATTTTTCTTTTTTTATTTTTTTTTAGGTTAAAGTTTTAGTATTTTTCACGAGAAAGTAAACTTAAAAGCTGACATGATTTAGAGATACAGATTTGTTTTGATTTTTAGGAAAATTATTTCGTACATTAAGTAGCTTTTGATATTCTTTGCTTAAATTTCTTAAGTAAAAGAAATTGATAATTTGATATTATGAATTTTCAATAATAGTGTTTTGGCTTTATTATTAAAAAACTTTATATTAAAAAATTTTTTATATTAAAACTTTATAATGTAACTGATTATTTGATTTATTTAATTTCATAATAATTTTTAATCAAGAAACATTAAAATTTTTTTGAAAGCCATAATGCACTGAAAAAATTAAATTTTTGAAAATGTTTTTTTATTTACGTTATAGGAAGGCAGCATTTGTCGTATTTTACTGTTAATTTTATAAAAGAATAATTTTGCACATGTGTTAATGATAAACACGAACTCGCGTGTTCACGGTTACATTCACGAAGGACGAGAGATGAACGACACGCGATCCAATATGGGTTGTTACCATGCGTTGCATACCTAGGATATTCAACCACACGCATGATTTCCAAGCAAAACTTGGACAGACTTGAAGAAATCAAACAGAAAACTAAATATTTTAAGATTTTCCTGTGTTTACGTTTTCGTTTTGGCGAAAAGATTATTATTGCAACTTCTACTTGAAAATATTCATTCTTCAAATTTATTTTATCTTATCGTTCCATCTTCATTTGAATTGAGACAAATTTTCACTGTGTTAGCTAACTTATATAATTAAATCTTTATTTTATCTCAGAATAAAATTTATTTATATATTTTATTACTAAATATATTATATTATATTACTTAATATATGTAATACTTATATATTATACAAATATACTTTTATTTATTTATGATCTATTTCATCGGAAAGAAATATATTTCTCATTTAGTTAATAATTAATCGAATTAGCATGATTAGGTTAAGTTTCAAGTAAAATCTTCCTTCGAAGTAACTTCCAAATTATTTTTCGATATCTTCCAATTATCAAGTTAACCCTATTCTTTCTCTCGATAACTGTATCTATAATCACAATAAAAAGAAAAAAACTACAAATAAAAATATTACGATTAAAAAAAAACTGAAATAAATTTGAAAGTTTAAAGAACTTTGATTATCGCAACTTTCAAAGCTGCCCTCTTCAGGATCATTCTATTCAATTCTTGTCAGTTTTTCCCATAGGCTATGTGTCGCTAAATGAAATTCCAAGGATACCGATTGGTCAAGTTTATTTCACTCAGTCACCCCGATTTATACACGATTCGGTTCTTTTCTTCGCAAGATCTTCAACCTCTTTCGTTTCCAGCCAGGAATCGTACGAGTTTCGCAACCGAGTCGGTATTATGTGCACGAAGAACGAACGGGTAACCTTTATCGGTCGGAAAGGCGTAAAGTGGGACAGTGGCCTGATTCCCGGTGTCATGGCTGCGGCTGCATGTGCACCGGCCAGAAGAGTGGAACGGCTATAGACGTGCCGAATGTGCAACCAGTACTCCACTCTGTCTTGGATTTTTGCCAAAAGCTTGCGGGTATTTTCTTTTTTTTCGACGAAAGAAGAGTAGGAAAAAAGGAGAAAGGAACACACATAGAGATTAATATGGGCGCGTTATGCGAGTGGACTCGTCTGTTTCCTGCTGTGGCTCGTTCCAATTTTTTCGATTCGTTTGAGAGAAACGTGATGGTCAAAAGAGAATGACTTTTCTCGTTGATATTAAATTTTGATTCGAGGTGAATGATTTTTTTAAAAGAATTTAGTGATGTATTGAAAATTTTTGAATAATTCGAAGGTATTCTTTTAATTTTTTTTTGCATTAAGATTTTTAAAAAATATTTTTCTAGGTTTATTATTTATTTTCTAGATGAATTGATCTAGATAATTTGTTAAAAAATAGAAGAGATATTAATCAAAATACAAAGAATATTTTTTATTTAGCCTTAACCTGATTCTGAGCCGTTAAAAAATGATTAGACATGATTTTTATATTTGTCTTGTTTTATTTGTTATTAGTATATTAACATACAATTTTGAAAGAAAAATTATTTTTGAAATATAATATTGAAATACAATATATATGAAATAAATATTTTTAATGGATAGCATAAATGTTTCAAGTATATCGAGTTGTCAATCTAATCTAACCTAACCTAATTTAACTAATTTTTCTAGATTTATGTAATAATATTTTAAAGTGTTTAAAGAAAAACAGAAATAGAGAAAAGATTCGTGTCCAGATGGAGATATATATATATACTTTATATTTTATATTTGATACATATTCACAAGATCCAGTCCCTGGCCATAAAATGTAAATAATTGGAGGACGATCGATAATCTATTTCATGCATGACAAAATAATCGATTCGTGAAATTGGATTAACGGGACACGCCACGACGAGTTTCGAGTAAAAATTAGTAAACAGATTGTTGACCGCGATAAACGGCCTTTGCACGTCCGCGCCATGCGATTCAATTCGGATTTCTAGAAAATACAATATAAAATATATACAAATTCTGTCAGATACTTAACACGTAACATATGAATCTAATCTAAAAAATTATAAAGTTAAATATTCAAAGAAAGTTTCACGTTTATACTTGTTTCATAATAAATTAACCAAAATTATTCTATTAGTATTTAAGTGTATCAATTGCATATTTTTTTCACATTTTACATCACAAAAAATGTTGATCGAAATTCATTCGAAAAAATATGATTCAATTTTGATTACAATTTCCAGGAGAAACGATCGAGATAGCTGAAACCGAAATGACAAAAAGAAAGTGAATGACTGGCGGATTTTTTGCCAGAATCAAGGCAGTTTAATTGAACGAATAATTGAAAGGTGTGTAGTCCTAACGATAAAAGAAAATAACTTGGGAAGTATTTATGCAAATACGCGCCTTTGCATGGTGCATGCAAATCAACTTTATCGAAGGTGGCACGACACGAAGGTGGTTCACCCTTTCGCGGAAGGTACCAATCTACAGGGGTGTTCCGTGCATTGCGTGAAAATAAGCGTTCCACAACGACCACCACCTGGTCTCACTCTCTAGAAACGAATCTGAAATCTAATTTCAACTAAATTTATTCATCTCCACCAACCCTAATTAATCATTCAGATATATTCTCGACAATCTTTTTTCTAATTTTTTTTTTCCTCATAAATCAATGATTCTTGACTAATTCGCTACTAACAAATTACTCGTATATTTTACAATTAATCATATACATAATTTGTCAACTATTTTTAAAAGTATCTCCTCTAATTTTTAATTTTCAACAAGTATTCTGATGCACAATCGTATATTCGTTTCTAGATTCTATAATTTAATAAAACTAATCTTCTGTAACTAATCAACGGAACTTCTCTAATCTTCAATCTCTATATTTCTTTACATACAATTTCCATTTTCTGAAACGCATTGTCATTATACCTCTCCGAAAATTGCACCAATTAATCAAACTATCATCCCATTATTCTTTTTCTCTTCCAAAATCGACACAAATTCTCTTCCATATTTTTCACACATTCTATCCATTTTTCCCATTATTAATGAACCCAATTCTCTCTCTCTCTCTCTCTCTCTCTCT